CCCCCCCTGAGCGAGGCCCTGAACCCCAGCTGCTCCAGGTGGCGCTGTACAATGGCTGACCCTGCGCTCTGACCCCCAGCTTCTCTCTCTCTCTCTCTCCCCGTCTGTGTGTCTCAGGGAGAGCCATCTGGTGTCTGCGAGAAAGACGAGTTCCTCATGCCAGAAATGGTTTAAAAAAAAAAAAGCGATCTGATCTTATCAAACATCTCATCTCAGGGAGGAAACCGCATTCCTGAACTGCTCCTTTTTTTTTTTGCTGAAAACAACCGCAACAGAGCGACACTTTGCAACGGAGAGTCACAGCCACGAGCACAGAAATGCAGACGATTTGCAAAATCCCGCGATTTTCTCTCCCTTTTTTTTTAAAAACCGCAGCAGTCCAAATATGTTCCGTTACCTACCCAGCTGGGGGTGGTGGTAGGGGGGGGCAGTTAAGAAGTGGGTTCAAATCCCAGTCCTGAGGGGCTGGTCTTTAGCCCAGTTGCTCCAGTCCACACAGCTACGGAAATGCACAATGGGCTAATATGCTGTCTCCTTGCAGAGATGCAGTTCCCGAGCTAGGAAACAGGAGGGTGTTTAGGGGGCAGAGCGGTGGCTCTGTGGCTCAGGATCTGCGCCTGTGACTGGAAAGGGTTTGCCAGTTCAAATCCCGCAGCCGGCAGAGGAATCCTACTCCGTTGGGGCCCCCCCTGAGCGAGGCCCTGAACCCCAGCTGCTCCAGGTGGGGCTGTACAATGGCCGACCCTGCGCTCTGACCCCCAGCTTCTCTCTCTCCCCGTCTGTGTGTCTCCTGGAGAGCCAGCTGGGGTCTGCGACAAGATAATTCCTCATGCAAGAACCTTTCTAGGGTTAATAAAGTGACGTCATTATTCTTGAAACCACAGGCAGGGCAAGGAGAATGAGGAACTGTTCGGGGTACATTCCTCTGACATACCTGAGTTCATACCTCAGTCACAGGTAGGCGTGGTAGTTACATGCAGGAGAAACACGCCCTCTCCCCCCCTGCAGATCTTTCGATGCTCGACAAGTTTCTCCAGAAGCTCGGAGAGCCAGAAAATCTCAAAGTCCCATTCCAGCGGTGAAAATGCGGGCGATCTAGGTGAAACCCGAACCCGAGTGTGTTTAGTTCCTATGGTGTTGATTCACTCAGCATCCATTACGGTGTAGTGGATGAGCTCAAGTTATAGTAATTCCTTACACTTGTAGGGCGTTTTTCTGGACACTCCACTCAAAGCGCTTTACAGGTCATGGGGAATCCCACTACCGCCACCAGTGTGCAGCCCCCACCTGGATGATGCGCCAGTCCGCTCGGCACACAGCAGCTCTCAGTGGGGAGGAGAGCAGAGTGATGAAGCCAGTTCAGAGAGGGGGGTTATTAGGAGGCCATGATTGGTAAGGGCCAATGAGAAATTTGGCCAGGATGCCGGGGTTACACCCCTACTC